TTCAATACATTCTTCAAAATTCATCGAAGTTTTTCCTCCGCTACAATAAATGTCCCGGCCCCCATCAGAGGCTCGTCAGGGTCGGCGACATTTAATGGTCCTCCGGGCCGGATCAGGCCAGAAGAAATCAGAAGCGGAGGAAACTTCATCGAAAATGGAAAAACAAGAAGGGAGACCGCAAAGTGAAGGCGCTGTCGGCGGAGTTCCTGTGACGATAGAAACTGAAGAAACCATGGAGGTTTCGACGCTGCAGCAGCCGCGCCCTGAGGTGAGTTCCAGTTCGTCAGCATCCCGCGCATCCGCTGAGGCTCAGCTCACGGCGCGAAAAAGGGCTCTGCATGTGAAACAGTTGGAAAAACGACTGGAGATGGAGCGACAGGAAGCGGAGCGAAAGCAGCAACAAGAAGAGAAGTTGAGGCGGCAGCAAGAGGAGTTGAAGCGTCATGAAGATGAAGTGAGAAGACGACGTGAGCTGCAAATCGCAAAAGATGAAATGGAACAAGCTGCACTAGAGGCACAATGGCGACAGCAGATGAATGATCGACGAAACGCCGGCAGAAGGGACGACTTCATGAAAGCTGAACGGGAAGGACAGCGAACGGTTACTACGAGACTCCCGCAGTCCGAAATATCATTCCACTGTCCTCTCCCTCTCCCTGCTAGCCCCGTCCCAGCTAGCCCTCAGATCAGCAGACCATCGTGGATCGACGAGTTACCCAAAGATAGGATACCGGCGTCAGAAAGTGTCCAGAAGTTGAAAGTTACGGACAGCCAGAAAGTGACAACCAGATGGATCTCCATCGCTACTGCCCAGGTACTTGGCATCTCATTCGACAACCAGCTACCCGCTGGGCCAGACCTGCTGAGCTCGGAAAAAGAACTCGCTAGCAACAAGAACCTGAAAGAGGTGACTCAAGAATCCTGCTCGAAAGAAGGACGCCTCCGAAAAGTGAACCCAGGTGAAACAGCTGAGGCAGCAAAATCCCTGCAGCATCCCTCAGCCAGAAAACCGAGCGAAGACCCGGAAATCCAGGTGATCTCCGACTCCGACGCTGCTGCCCAGGTGCTTGGCGCCTCGTGCAACAATCGACCACTCGCTGAGTCAGACATGCGGAAAAGTCAAACTGACGTCCCGCAACGATTCCAGGAAAGGGCTGTGGCCTGCGTAGCGGATATCCAGGAGACGGCTGATCAGAAACAGTTCATCCGACAAGAAAGAACGGCTCAAAACCGCCTCTCGCCTGACCTGAACGACGGACAAAAATCAGACCAGAACGAGAAGGAAGAAAACGTCTTCAAAACCGAATCGTGGCTGGCGTCCGCTGACCTTGTGCCGCAGAAAACAGTCACCGATCATGATGCAGATGCACAAGTCAAACTGAAGACAGAGACCACGAAAGCGCGACACGGCAGTGTCTGTATGGACGACGCCCATCAACCAGAACGAACCGTGTCAGAGGCCGCCAGAGCAGTAAGAAGAGATGGTCCCGATCTGCTCACAAAGGAAAACTTACGGCTCGAAAACCAGATGAACAACACGAGTGAAGTGCAAAGCAGCACACCATATGTGAGACAAGCACACCCCGATGCGGACTACGATGACACCTATCTCCCTGCGGAAGGAGCTCTGGGTGCTGTCTGGGACGAAGAGCGAGACTCGCCGAGTGCCCAGTTCCGAGACAGTAAGAAGCAGACGACCAGACGAGGAGCGCTCAGGAGAACTGCGGTTATCTTCGACCCCGTGAGGATCGCCGCTCCGTATCGGATCACGGTGCAGATCCTCAAGGAGAAACTCTGGATGCTACGACACATCCGGAGCCGATGGAAGAAAGAAAAAAATCCCAAAACCTGGCACATCGAAAGGACTCTGGTCCCTGGTTCGAGAACAGAGCTCCTGCCAGGACCGGACAGACGAGTGCGCGCTGTACGACTCGTCACTGCGAATGGAGCGACCCACACACGGCCGGTCACGTGGTCGCTGTCCTAGAAGAAGCAGCTCAGCTGTAGTGAACGGGTTTGTCGCCACATCATTCCCACATCCTGACAGCTGTACTTCGACCGTACTCCCACTGACCCACTGAGCCTGGCCTATAGACCATTTCTGAAACTTCATCTCGCCCTCCGTCCCGTGGAGCAGACACCAAACTCGCCGAGATTTATGTCTTTTCCCGTGTCCCCCTCTAGCCCGGCTCGCCACATGGACCGCTTTCCCCTCCCCCGTCCGCGCAGCCGGCCATTAGGCACGAGTGACATCTGGAGGTGGGGGAGCTCAGCTGAGTGGCGCGTGCCGCGCTGCCGGTTGACACTGACCTTGAGTACCGAGGGAAACTGAGGCGACGAAGGACCCTGCTGACCTACTGAGAGCAGCGACCGATCAGCTGACTGCTGGAAGGACAGCACATCAGCTATTCTGGAGAACGACAACCGAAACCGGCAACAGCCGTGTGAACACTCGCGTTGCGTTTCTGGTGTAGCCGAACACTGCGCACCGGAGACTGGCGTCAGAAGTGACAAAGTGACGCGACCAGTGGACTAATGTGCAGATGACCAGGGACGAGGTCTAGCGCAATGAACGATTGTGAAGGTGCCGAAAGTGTTTGCATTCGTTATGATTTAGTACTAAGTGATATAGGTAGTGTACCATAAATCTGTATAGGTGCTTGTGTAGTTTAGGAAGAACTCGCGAGAACCTGCGTAGCGAAGTCGTGAATCTCGTGGATGTACAGAATGTTCCGTCGGTGTTCAGTGGTTGTGTGATCTCCCGTCTTAAGTCGATCACAGGGGAGGAGTGTGTCACCGACGAAATGAACTGCCCTGTTGTTCTTCTCTTTCGTTTTACATTTGACAGCCACGCGTGATCTATCGCAGTACTGGTCATGCCCCGTGAGCCTGGACCAGCTCTTGTGTTAGTTTCTCGTCTCAAGTTCTAATTGCCTACAATTTGTCACTCGCGCTATCGCTTCACACTTGACGGCTGTTCGTGCTCGCCGCCGCCGTATCGTATAACCGAACGTGCCGCGCGAGCCTGCTCTGGCTCTTCTCACAGGTTTCTCGTTTCATATTCTAATTGCTTTTAGATGTACGACTGATTGTTCTTTGTGCCCGCGGCGGCTCCTCGAGTCGCTGCGGGCAGTCTCCACTTGAACGCCACCGGGTACAGTCCTCGGTGGCGGTGCGCGGCTCCGCCGGCGCCCCGATGTGCGCCGGTGTAGTGAACCCGTGACGGAATCGTGCGCGATTCCGACGGCACCCCCAGCGGGTTGCCAACGTGAACAGTGACGGAGTCGTGCCACCGAGCACGATTCCGAGGGCACCCCCGTTCGTGTGCCCAGTGAACGCCACTGAGCCCAGCTCAGTGGCAGTGCGCGAATTCGCCGGCGCCCCGACGAGCGCCGGCGTATTGCAGTGCAGTGAACGGCTCTGACGGCGCCCCGTCCGCGGCGGCGCCGATGTGTCATCTGAACTCTGAACAGTGAACTTCATCGACAGTGCTCACTGTGTTTTTCTCTGGTCCACCTGTCTACTCTGCGCTCCTCATTTCACCCTCGTCTACCGTTCGTCATCATCTATCGTCCGGATTTCTTCAATACATTCTTCAAAATTCATCGAAGTTTTTCCTCCGCTACAATAAATGTCCCGGCCCCCATCAGAGGCTCGTCAGGGTCGGCGACAAAAGTTTGATCCGTTTTGATCCGGGTTCAACCTTCAATTCCCAAATCCGGCCCGCCCATATCCGTTCTTTTTTAACAAATTTAGAATCCAATCCTATCCGGTCCGCGGATTTATCCGTGGATAACGGATTTATCCGGCCCATGAAGTGCTCTAGGCGGCAGTCGGCCACGCGCTCTCAGTGGTTAGCGCTTAGCACCGGCGGCTAGCGCACGCCCGGTGTGTTATCGGCCGTGAGCCGCTCCAAAACGGCTGCAGTAACTGGTCGATATAGGTAGTAAGCAGATACAGAGAAGCAGGTGGATAAGGTATGTGCCCTTTCCGATCGAAGCATGTGCCCTATGCCACCTTTGGGACGCAGTAAAAAATCCTTAAAATATGCCCTGCCGCCAGGTGAGACGGCCACCCGGCCCGGTCCGGCCACAGGCGGACGGACGGACAGACGGGAGGAACCAGTCCGGCCCCGCCACCAACGGGCGAACTGACGGCGCACAGTGGCTATGAACCGGCCTCTAACCGCCGCCGTCGCCGCCGGAGGCCCAGCTCTTCCATGGAACCAGGAGTGCCGGGTGAACCCTAACCAACGACAAAACAGCCGCTCGGACCCTATTTCTTCTGGCCACAGCTTTGGTCTCTAACGGAGCACACCCGTCTTCGCACGCTGAGCCTTCGACTCTCCTCCCCCGCTGGTCAGTTCCGTGCCACCGCTCCGGGGGGAGGGGGGGGGGGGCAATCAGCGAACACCACATATTCGTCATCAGTGAGACATGTCACGTGTACCACCGTCAGATTCGTGTCCTCCGGCGTCAGACGACCATCCACCGGTGGTACTCTCTCATCTCCGTCGATGGTGGATAAAGACCACCCGGAGAGGCAGTCAGCTGCTGCCGCCGCCGCTGACGCCTCCAGCGTCAAACGACATCCCCGCCTCCCAGGCCGTTTCTGAGAGACCTACTCAAACTCTGCCATTGATGTATCGCCCGGCGATAATCCGCCGATAAAAACTGGGGCGGGCGATGGGACACACTAGACCTCGGGGACCGATCAGACTACCGAGCGGCCGCCCAGCGGCGGTGGTCGGGGGCGGCGGGGCTGGATGTGTAAGTAAATGCAGACGTGTAGGTGGCGGGGAGGGTAAAGAACGCCTGGGAAGGGGCGGTAAGGCTGGGGTAGATGCAGCGCAGAGGTGTAAGTATTTAGGTGGTGGGGTGGGGGCGGAGACGGACTGGCGGGGGAGGGTTGGAGCGCCGTTGATGCAACAGTGGCGGAGTGGAGCTAAGGGGAGGCAGACTGGCGCTGGCAGCGCTGGAGGCGCAGGCGGCGGTACTTACGTGGCCGATGCCGTTGACACCGTAGCCGCCGGCGTTCACGAAGCCCTGGAACACGCACAAAAACACCGGTCAGCTCGGTCGGTCGAGCGGAGCCGCGGGTCGACGGCGGCGCTCTGGTGGAGCGCCGCAGCCGGGCGCCGGGGGATGGTGCAAGCTGACGGCAGTGACCGGTCTGAACCACCCACCAGGGTAGAGGGGCATCGGTTACGTGCGTGAAAAATACGACTGCAGTGCACAGAACCGTTACTTATCCCTTTGCGATTGTTCAACACAAAAGAAAAATCCGCCGATTAATCGCAGATATTATCCCAATGATTTGAAAGAGAAAAGTACGGGCAGTTCTAACACATGCCATAAGCGAGAAATTGACTCTTAGCCACGAACAATGTACTCACATACAGAGTAATGGCTTAATTGTATACTGGACCGAGAACGATTGCGCCAAGTAACCACTACCACTTGCCAGTGATCAGTAGCGCCACTCGAAGTCTGTCTGCGTCTCTGTGTGTCCCGTGTGTCTGTCTGTGTCCGTTTATGAGTGTGTGTTTGTCTGTCTGTCGGTGTGTATGTCGGACTCACGTAGTCGTGGAACGCCTTGGCTTCGCTCGAGTGGTCGCAGGTTTCCCTCCTCTCTGGCGCCGCGCAGTACAGGTCCCAGAACACGCTGCAACACGGGAGAGGCTGGTCAGAGCCGGCCGAGGTGGCAGGTTCGCACTGCCGAGACACGTGCGGAATCGACACACAGTGCGCGGGACACACGGCACGACACATTCACAGCACACCACGCAAGCTTCCACAATGCATTTGTGCTGGTTTGAAGGGGAAAGGTGTCTAAAACTGCTCGGACTGGGCGACATACGAGGGGCGTTCAAAAAGTTCTCGGCCCGACCATGAAGGAGCAGAGATACGACGTCGACTCATTAGACCAAAAATGTTCATTTAGTCAAATAACCAGCGTTAAGACAAAAATATTTCGCGCAGCGCTTCGCGAGAGGCCCCTGGGTCTCCATAGCCAAGTGGGTTTTGGACGCATCTGGCACGTCCAAGACGGCTGCTTTTGTCTCCTTGCTGTCAGCGAAGTTGCCACTGCTAAGCAATTTCCTGATGTTGGGGAAGAGATGGCAACCTGAGGGTGCAAGGTACGGAGAAAAAAGTGCAGCTGTGACAACTCAAAGCCACGCTCACTGCTTCGCTGATCGTCACCCTGTTCATGTGTGCTGGTGCGTGGTCCTGGATCAGGCGCACACTTTTAGTCAGCTTCCCTAGTCTCTCCTTGATATCTGCTGCTCGCTACTGTTATCGAAGGGAGGTGTAGCATTAATCATTAATTGTGCGCCCCTGTTTTAGAAAGTTAACGAGCAGAGCCCCGCCATCATCCAAAAATGCAACCACTGTCACCTTGCCGTATGACTTTAACACGTCGCACACATTTGGTGGCCTTTACTCAGTGTGCTTCCACTTGTGCAACTCGGTCACGCCCTGAGGGTCAATGCGTGACACCCACAATCCCTCCACGGTAACAAGTATTTCAATGAACTCTTTTGGATCTTTGATATAGGGGCCAAAATTTTCGCGCAACGCCTCCTTTCGAGTTTGCCTTTCCTCTGCAGTCAGCAAACGGGGGATGCATCTTGCAGAGATCTTAAACATATTAATACGCTGTCGAAGAATGGCTTTGAGGAACCTGATAGACAACTCCGCTTCTGCTGCATTGTTTCAGACCAGAACATTTGTCATTTTTCACAAAGAAATGCTTATTTTTCATATTTTCTTAAGTCAATGCTGTTGATGGCTGGCCACTGCGGGGGTGACCATTAATGATCTGTTGACCAAAATTGAACAGAGATGCCCACTTTTTGACGCTACTGTAAGAAAGACAAACCTCAACATGTGTTGGCACTAGCTTTTCGTGAATAACGTTTGGTGCATTTTTCTGCAATACATGAACCAAATCACTGTTCTATTCTGGGCGTCACCCATTCTGACCGGGAATAGCAAACTAGGTTACGATTAATTAGCAGCCTGAGCCAATCACAGGGCAGATTGGTTAATGGCTACGTAAGTGAACATCCCAATAACACATCATTGAACACACCGCGTTGCAGGCCGAAATTCCAACTCCTTCATGGTTGGGCCGAGAACTTTTTGAACGCCCCTCGTATGGTAAGAACAGCACAACACTTGGCACACGTGACTGATACGCCTCCACAACACTTGGCACACGTGACTGATACGCCTCCGCACAGGATGTATCCGTCCCACGTGTGGCCGAGGGGAGTGGTGAGCTCGTGACCCGGAAATGCACGCTATCGGTCTTATCCAGGATGCCGTCACCTCAGCTCCCGCCAGCTGCAGTGGCCCGGAACCCGGTACACCGACACCGGTCAGTCGGCAGGAGCGGATCTATTTTTAGACGCACGACACAATACGGACACACAGCGAAACTGCACACCGGCGCAGTGGTTACACCAACCCCAATGACGAGCATCTTTACACACCATCAGAAGGGCTCTTGGAAGGCTGGCTAACCGGTACACTTCCTGGCGTGGCGTGATCCGTATCTGGACATCCCACCGCCGCCTGTACTCCACAGACAATACAGATTATGTAACTACTGGTAATGTATGCGGCAGCTTACAAACTATCGAATACTGCACCGACCCGCAACTAGTCGGCCTTCCGCCATGAGCGGACGGGTCTGTGAGGTCGCTGACGGTATGAGCCCTCTCGACCGCCCCTATGAGACTGGTCTCAGCCGCCACAGTGGGACTGATCCCAGTCGCCCGGATGGGACTGGTCCCATTGGCCGCGCCATCCGACCGCCGTCGCCGGCCGGCAACTGCAGCGGCGGCGGGTGGCCGCCGAGCGCCACGGAAACCTGTTGCTCAAGGTCTGCATCTTACAGCCGCGGCGGCGGCGGCGGCACTAAATTCCGGCACGGCAGCGGTCACATGGCCGGGCAGCTTAGCGCCACCGCCGCCGCGAGAAAAAAAAAAACGGCACCGCACCGCCGCCACAGCCGCGGAGCAGCTACCGCCACCACCGTGCGGCCAATCGTGTGGCAATACATGGCAGCGCGTGCCGCCGCGTGTCGACGGGTGTCAAACAGTGGCGGCCGGTGTCAACGCCAACCAACGCGTGTCAGCAGGTGTCAAACAGTGTCAGAGAGTGTCAAACAGTGGCAGCGTGCACGGGCGCCCAAAACTACCGCGCACGCTCTGCTGTGCCGCGGGTACTGGCGCTGCTGTGGGGAGTCGTGGTTGGTGTCGCGGTAAGCGGCGCTCGGCGATATGCAGTCTCCGCCGCCGCCGTGTCCCTCGGCGGGTGCGCCCCCCTCGGACCGCCAGCGGACGGGTCCGGTGGGCGGGTACAGCGCCGCTGACGGCCCGGGTGCAGTCCGGGCGGCGACCGGTGCCCCCGCACCCCCACCCGGCCACTCCGGGCGCCGCGCGCAGACCGCCGGCCACCAGCACATACTATTGGATTTCATATATTCCAGCCCCGGATGCGGCCGGCCGTAGGCGGCTCGTCTTCTCCAGGCATATTGGCCTCATCGCGCTCAGAGCACCAATCTTGAAAAAGTGTACAGGTTGATGGTGCTATACCGCAATGCAGCCACCTGACGCCATCTCCTACGAATGCTTCTCGACTCATCCTCATCCCTGGACAAAATATACACTTATAGCATCAAGGTAATACACCAGCGGACATCGTGCCGAATATACTGCTATGGATACTGCCATTGCCCGCTGGCTTCTATCATTGAGCTAGCTCCAGCCGCCTTACAGCATCCTCAGCCACTATGAGCGGCCCATTGCGGGCTCTTCCCGCCGTCACGCCACACTAAGCTCCCTCGGTGGTGACCCAGCCAGTCTGGCCGCTCACCGCTGTGACCACACGGGTGACCGCAGACCGCAGACGGGCCGGCGCGGCGGGGCGGCGCGGCGGCCCGCGCGCCGAGCACAGGTGGCGCCAAAACCACCCGCCGAAAACCGACTCTGCAATCACCACGCCGAGTACCGCACCGTCCGGCCGGCACTCAACGGTGGTCGGAGGGAGGGCGGATCGAGGAATGCAGAACAATGTGTGCAGACTCCGCAGAAGGCAAAGGGAGTTGACCGGAGAGTTAGTGCTAGTACTGGAACTGGGGCATGACAGCTCATTGGACGCTGATTGGTAAACCGGAGTCCAAAAGTGACCTGTCCTGGACACATTTTCGATCAGTATTCTGCACGACGCTCTGAAAGTCTGCTCTCGGTCTGTACGCTGTCCTCTCCTCTCGGACCCGGAGTCCCGGTCCAGCCCCGGTCGGTCCCCTCCGATCTCCACCCACCCAGCCGGCACACCTGGCAGCCCGCTCTGCCGAGTTCTCCAGTGGCGGACCGAGATGCGCTGCGCACGGCGCGTCCCTCCGTCACAGGCCACCGGGCCACCGGCACGCCGCGCGGCTCGGAGAGAGTCCTCAAGGCCGGGCGGCGCTCCACCCACGCGCGCACCGACACACGCACAGCGGCGCAGGTTGCACAACGGTCGGCTGCTGCAGCCTCGTTGGCACAACAAACAGGGGGAGCGAGCACAGTGGCGGCGACAGAGGGCACAGTGCCACTGCCAGAGCGCCGGCAGAGCACACAGAGTAACACCGACAGGGCACAGAGAAACACCGACAGGGCACAGAGAAACACCGACAGGGCACAGAGAAACACCGACAGGGCACAGAGAAACACCGACAGGGCACAGAGAAACACCGACAGGGCACAGAGTAACACCGACACATCACAGAATAACACTGACAGGGCACAGAGTAAAACCGACAGAGCGCAGAGTAAAACCGACAGAGCAGTGTCACCGATAGGGTGCAAACTGTACACAGTGTACAGTGCCACTGCCCCTGTCACAGCCAGAATATACAATAACAACATCAGAGCACAGAGCGTCATCAATACAGCAGTTTGTCACCGATAGAACACAGAGCGTCACCGATTACACACGGAGTCGCTGATGGAGCACAGTGTCCCAGAGACGACAGGGCGGTACCATACCGAAGCAGTTTCTCGGACCGCCGCGCCCTCACCAGAGTCGGACAGACACACATCTCCGCCACGGCCGGACTTACAGCGCCAGCTGCACTATCAGCACAGGCAGCACCAGCACCACCAGCTGAACCACCAGCACGGTCAGCGGCACCAGCACCTGGGTCACCAGCACGGGCACCAGCACCACCGCGGAGAGCGCCGCGGCCACTACCAGTTCGGCGGCCAGCACCACCGCCACCCCCACCACCATCACCGTCAAACCGCCGCCGCCACCGCCAAACCACCGCGCCGCCAAACCATCACCAGCATTACTTCAACGACCGGCGCAGCCACCGGCATCGCTCACAGTAACCACACTTCCACTAACGGGAGGACGTCCCTGCACGCAAGGTCACCGCCGGTATCGGCAAACATTAACCGGCCACGGGTCGCGATATGATGGACTCCTGACCCGTCGGACTCTGTACCACAGTTGCACTATCACCGCCCCCGGCCGATCATATCACAGCTATCAGACCGCCGGCCAAAACACCGGACACGGGTCAAGTGTGCAATCCAGCGCCGCGGTAACGGACCACCGACCCAGTCCCATCACTCAGTCAGCCGGACGGGTGCCATCCAGTCACCACAGACAGGACTGTAGGAACCCGGGCGGCTGCCGGTCCCGCCCCGTCCCGTCCCGGACGGTTACTCACCACCACCAGGAGTGTAAGAACCCGGGCGGCTCGCCCAGTGTGATATTCTTCTCCCACCGGATCTGAAACGAGCAGACACACCCGGGGTCAGCGGGTCGGCTGGTGGGCACGGCACTGGCCGCGCCACGGTGTGGCAGCTGGGCAGGGGGCACCGCGCTGGCCGCGCCACGGTGTGGCAGATGGGCAGAGGGCACGGCACAGGCCGCGCCCATCGGCTCACAGTCACACGGCGGTGCATCAGCAGCCCCGCCACATGTCCAGTGTTTTAGGAGGGAATGAATGCACTGTCATCGTCGCCCATGGCCTCAGAAGAAGATCCGGTTCAACGTCACTAAAAGGAAGGGAGGGAAGTCCGGCCGCACGGAGAGGATACAGCAGAGAACACAGAGGGAACGGCGGCCCACGGCCAGTCGTCAGGTCAGCGCCGACCCCGACGGCAGGCCGGCGGGACCCGCGGCACCGGCGGCGGTCGCACGGGGCAACACCGCTCCACAACACACCAGTCCCAGCGGCCGACCGCTGCGGCCGGGAGGCGGGGGGTGGACGGCAGACGCAATAGGCAATATCACCGGCCGGCCACTGGGCTATCATTGGCACAATCAGATCTCAGCGCAACTGAGGGGATATATTGACAATAACAAAACACAAGGCGAGCGGGTGAAGCGGGGTGAAATACACTGACAAAGAGTTTCTGTTATGTGCTCCCAGTCATTAAAACGAGTGCTCATCTGGAGGACGTCGGTAGCCTAGACCGACCACGCACGCAGTTGATGATACACAGTTGTGATAAATCGCGATACCCACCTTCAAGAACGCAGAAATTAGGTTGGTTGGCGTTAAGAGCAGTAACGGAGCTAGATGCCCATTATTTTAGTACTGAGTAGGCGAAGGGATTGAAGTGCATGACGAGTGTACGGGTGTAGGAGAGAGAGAGAGAGAGAGAGAGAGAGAGAGAGAGAGAGAGAGAGAGAGAGAGAGAGAGAGAGAGAGAGAGAGAGAGAGAGAGAGGACAGAGGAGAGAAGAGAGAAGAGAGAAGAGAGAAGAGGAGGAGAGAGAAGAGAGAGAGTGAGCGAGAATGAGAGCGAGAGAGAGAGAGAGGGAGAGAGAGAGAGAGAGAGAGAGAGAGAGAGAGAGAGAGAGAGAGAGAGAGAGAGAGAGAGAGAGAGAGAGAGAGAGAGAGAGAGAGAGAGAGAGAGAGAGAGAGAGAGAGAGAGAGAGAGAATGAGAGCGAGAGAGAGAGAGAGAAGTGAAAGAGATAGTAGAGGGAGAGGGGGAGAGAGGCCAGGGCGGCACCGATGAGTGGCCGGCGTCCGGTCCGTCAGAAAAACGACCACCGCCATCGCCCGGCCGGCCGGCGGCTCTCGGACCGAAAAACAGGCCGCCGTGCACGGCGCACCGAGCTGGAGCCCCGGCCTGGCCGGCGCCAGTCGGCGCGGTCAGGGAGCTGACCACGGCCGGAGCCGCGGCGTGGGCCTCAGTGGACCTCAGCGGGAGCTGAGAGCCGGGAGCCGCTGGGACTGGATCTCAGAGCGGACCACGGCCGGAGCCGCGGGGTGGGCCTCAGTGGACCTCAGCGGGAGCCGAGAGCCGGGAGTCGCTCAGTCTGGGACCGGGTCTCAGAGCGGACCACGGCCGGAGCCAGGGGTGGGCCTCAGTGGACCTCAGCGGGAGCCGGGAGTCGCTCAGTCTGGGGCCGGGTCTCAGAGCAGACCACGGTCGAAGCCGGAGCCGCTGGGACCGGGTCTCGGAGCGGACCACGACCGGAGCCAGGGGCCCGGGGGCCGTCCAGTCTGAGGGCGGGCCTCAGCGGGAGCCGAACGGCCGCTGTCGCTGGGCAGCTTGGTGGATCCTCTCGCACATTGACAATCGACCGAGAGTAGCTTACGTGAGTGTGGCACATAAACAGCTCAATTCAGATTTCAGAACTCAAACAGTTGTCTCCTCATGGCATCATCAACACGGACGTGACATATTAAAGCCAGATTTATGGTCACGTTAGCTAAGCTATGGGCCCTGCCGTGGGCCGTTTTTGATCGACATTCTTTCGGTTAGTACGGGAGCGTGCAGGGCGATACAATCATAAACATCGCATGGACGAGGGGAGATTACCATAACGAACAAACTTGGGCCGTACGGAAGTTCCCGGCGGCGCCGATCGTACCAGCTTTGCGCGCCGCGCCACAACAGTGGCTGTTCCGGAAGGGCACACTAATCCCGGCGTCTTCCCCGTACGTGCAAGGTCACGCGACTTAGCGCGATAATATCCCTGGCGGCCTCCCGCTGGCTCATACGCGACAGGCCATGCGTGAAAGCCGCAGAGTGCATACCCTCGTAACCGGGCCGGTAACCACAGGTGCTGTCACGGTGCATACCCCAGTAACCGGGCGGGTAACCACAGGTACTGTCACGAAGTATATCCCCGTAACCACAGGTAGGTGCTGTCACGGTATACACAGTCGAGTGAGTCCATCCTCCACTGCATCCTACACACATCCCCTCAGAATGCGGAATACCGACGGTGCTTCAAAGTTTGAAGGCTGCAGGGGACCGGATTTCAAATCGGCAGTCAGGCGGCCGCACATCTACACTATGAGGAGCACGTTCATTACACGTCAGTTGATGACGCAGACGCAGGGTGTCGGCGGGCGGGCGACAGGGGGAAAATATTACGAGTGCAAACACAGCCGCATTATCTCCGTAACAACTATGAACGATTGTCATGTTCCGTTCCCCGCCTACCGCCCGAGCACATGCCGTCCTGTCGCCCCTACGGCCCAGTGTCAGCCCGTGCTGGAACACGCGACACGGTACCCGCATGGCTGACCCATGGTACCCGCACGACTGACCCACGGTACCCGCACGGCTGACCCACGGTACCCCCACCACTGCACTGACCCACGGTACTCGCCCGGCTGACTGGCGCGACTCACCCACGCGCCACGGTACCCCACGGCTGACCGACACGCTACGGTACCCCACGGCTGACCCACCGACGGTAACCACGGCCGACTCACGGTACCCGCGCAGCTGACCCCCTATACCCCGCGGCTGACCTACGGTACATGTACAGCTGACCCGCGCGCCACAGTATCTGTACAGCTGACCCGCGCGCCTCGGTACCCGCGCGATGAGTCTGGGCGGAAGGCGGAACAAGGAAGAGGCCGGGAGCGCCGCCACTAGAGCCCCCGCCACGGCTCAGCACTAGCGCAGGCGGCCGTAAAGTCGGCGCTCGCAGGACGGACCGCCTCGTAACACTGATTACCAGAGGTCACCAGCCGGTCCCAACTCCAGTGTGGATGACAGGCGCAGTCAAATTGACACATTTCGGAAATGGCATATAAAATACTGATTAGTCTGAATGTTTTGTTGACATTTTGGAGGAATCTGTTTCAAAGTACACCGAACGCAACAATCATCGGCGATTTTAAACCTTTCGACGAACCACTGGAAATCGGCAAACGAGAGTGAAAGCCACATAGACTATTACAGTTGCAACGTAACTTAGATGATGCTTAGGCTTAGCGGGCAATTTTTTAATCTGTGAAGGATCTCAGTCATCCCAGAGATCCACAAATACCAAACTGTAATGTTTTACCCGTTGCCGAAGTGTTTTGTACATGTTCAAGCATTAGGCACAATATCACTAATTGGTTGCAGAGCGTTATGGATTAAGCCAAGGCGAATAGTTTGGGTGCACGCTATCCATTACATCTCCGTGCTGTAACCAGTAATTGTCGTCAGTACATTGGGACTAGAGGTGGCAAAAGATGAAAATTTTTGGAACCAGACTCGAACCAGACCCGGCTGGACATTTCTGGAACCAGTCGGACCCGGTCTTAGTTGGAATCGGAACCAGTTGGACCCGGTCCCCAAAAGTCAACTAATACAAACTACTTGTGGACATCATTATTTGCATCATGTACAACAGCCTATTTCCTACTGGGAATACTCATGAGCTACTGTGTCCAAAGAAACATTCACTTCATTCACTTCATATTTTGCAATAATGTGTAGCGTGCAAGATGTAAAGTTTATGGTAGGACCCGGTTGGACCCGTCAAAAAATTTCCAGGAACCGGTCTGGACCCATATGGGTCCAGACTGGTTCCTTGGACCGGGTCCTCGGGTCCACATTTTGCCACCTCTAATTGGGACTGTGCCACAAAAGAATCAGCTGAGTGGTGCTGGATGGCGGGACAGCGAAAAACGCCCGGCCCATACCGTCAACCGCGTATGACGATCCACGCGAGAACAGCACTCTCGGCGGGGTTTGACAACTCGCCGAGTGGCCCGGCAGCGGCGGCGTTCTGTCTAGCCATATGTAACAGCTGCCAATCTGTTCGGATAAGCCGCACGGCGCTCGGACCACTTACTGTAGCCTGGCTTAGCGGAGCGCTTTTTCACCGCCGGCGCACGGGGCCAATTAAACACGATTGACTGTTCATGAGCGTCCGATTCACGATCTAAACCACTTACTGGCGGCCCGGATTAGCGGGGCTTCTATCCGTGTGTCAGATGTAAGCCGATTAGGCAGATACGGGTCGCGGCAGAGGAGGCTGGCCGTGGCTACCTGGCGGCGCCGCCGGCTACAGGTGGTCGGCACACGGCGCTCCCCGCGACCGCGACCACTCAACGGGCAAACGCACCGCTAACTGGGGAAATAATTCACCGACAAGTTTAGCAAATAGCCACATATAATGCAATAAATGTCAATTCAATAGTCGCGTTTCAAGCAGGTGAGTGAGTAGTGCCTCAGTCCTTTGGAAAGCGCCAGTGAAAAATCGAACCAAGTAAGAGTACCTACCTAACTAAATCCAGCATTAAAAGCGCTGCAAATATACATACAGATTACTCGTGCGTAGTGGAAAAAAAAACCGTGACACGTTTCCCGATCGATAGGTAAATGGTGACCTCGGCCAGTTGATATCAACAACCTGGAGCAAAGCACTTTGCTCTTGGGTAAGCAGTTACTTAGATGGTAATGCGATCCGAAGGAATATTTCGGGTGGCATTTAATCCATCGTGGGTCACACAGATACGCACATTGGCGTCGCCAGTCATACCCACTCAGCCAAGGGCACAGGAAGGAAAAAATGGAGACAAGGTGAGCTCAGTCGCCTGACCTGGATATAAAGTGTTTGGACACTTACCTCTGACAAAAATGTCTGTGCAGCCTTTTGCGCGCCGACATGTAACAAGTATTCATAGACGTACAACGCCAACCTGGAACAGACGGAGACACTGGGTTAGAGACATTGGCAGCGACCGGGCTGTCACCGACAGACGTGATAATATACCACGACCGACTACACGCCAATGACAGCCGGGACGCGAAAAACAGCAACGGGGGTTCAACAGTCAACGCACATGGTCGCAGATGACGATGACAAGGAAATGTGCTAAGGACGAAGGGGGTTTCTAGGGTCCCCAATTGGCCCCTGTTGCACGGGGATTACCCCCGCGCATTATCCCGAAGACACCAAACCTGAACATTCGTTGCGATAATTCATCAGGCATACCCATCTCTACATTCACCCAAGGCCCACACGCAGCGCTGGAGTGTTAAGATACAGCTATTCAGAGATTCAGAGCGTTTGGGCTCGTTCCCTAACCACAAAATAAATACAAGTCCCAGAAACGGCTTCTGCAATGGACTACGAAGCATTCCTTTTCCATCCAACGACAGTTAGCCTCCATAGCTCGCGGTAAGATGACGCCAAGACCATAGTGGGACGGCACACCGCGCTTGGTACAGGCGAGTCATGTAGGAGGACATTAGGGGTGTGATCCTTGGATCCGCGTCACCGTGACGCGCGCGTGGCGCTCTGACGCGCGTATGGCGTTATGACGTGCGCGTTGCGTTATGACGCGCGTGTTGCGTCACACACGCACAGCAGCATTAGATGCAAACGCCCCGCCCGGCCTGTCATCCGAGCCTGGGACGGCGACGGCAAATCGCCACCACTCCCCAATTAGTGTACCGATAGGGGAGTGGGGGGTTGCTCTCCCGGAGGTCAGTGAAGGATCGGGCTCTCCGGAGGTCAGTAGGCGCCGCTATCCCGGAGTCCGTACCCCGCTGCTATATCGGGTACCGTTGCCAGAGAGACGAGAGCAGTGGTCACTGGTCAGCCCGGAGACCCCGGACCGGACCAGTCCGCCCGGAGCAGAGCTTATTACCGAAGACGGGGTTCCCGTAATACAAAACCGATATCGACTGCTCACGGAATGGGCATATTAGACGCAGGGAAAGGGGATGTCTTCGGCTCACTCACTAGCGCCCATTAATGCATGGTATTGTCCTGTGAAAACCCAGTTTCTTGGCCAATTAGATGTGCAGCGCAGTGAAGTGTCAAACGTTCTGCCCTGCCAAATGGCGGCAGAGCCCCGTCACGTGACCGTGCCGTCGCCGGTCGCCGATGGACCCGGATATGGCGGACGGCACCTTGTCTCTCCGTGCGCCGCGGTCCGTCCGTGCGCCGGGAGTCGCCAGCTCGAGAGGGGACGGATCGGTCGGATCCGCCGCGGGGCACGGCCGCTGCACGGAGCGCCACTCCAGCGGCCGGTACCGCCACTACCGTGACCAGCAGTACTACTCCACTCCAACAACCAGTGCCACCACAGCTGGGTCGGTGCGACCACTCCAGCAGTCACTGCAGTGGCCGGTACCGCCACTACCGTGACCAACAGTACTACTTCACTCCAGCAGCCAGTGCCACCACAGCTGGGTCGGTAGAGTCACTCCAGCAGTCACTGCAGTGGCCGGTACCGCCACTACAAGGCCAGCCACCAGCAACGAAATAAATAACACCTGTGGCCTCGGACAATACGTAAAACCATCGCTCCCCAAAAGTGTAGCCAAATTAACTTCAAAAACATCCACAAAACGGAAGAGGATAGGTCAATGGAGCATCGAAACTGCGCCTGCCAGCTTTTCCCGTGGTCTAGCCTAATTTGCGAGTCTCATTGGGCCCCGGAGGAGTAGAGTGCGGACAGCCACGTCCAGGGAGGCCGCAGCCGGTCCGACAGCGGACACTGCCGCCTGCTCGGGTTGGCAGCATCCGGAGCGATAGGGACGGCCACCAGGCTGCTCGCTACCATCGGGGTAGGGAGTAGCTCTGTTAGAGGGAGGGAGGGACGGCCCGACTGCGCTGCAATCCGGGCAGGAGGGACAGCGGCGCACGGCCTGCCTGCGCTACCATCGGGGCAGGGAGCGGCTCTGTTAGAGAGAGGGACCGCGGCGCCCGGCCGGACTGCTGTCACTGGTCGGCCCGTGCACCGCCCCCGCCCGGCTCCTGCCCGACACGGGACGAGGTCTCTGCTGCAGACTGCCGCCGCTGCCGGACACGGGCCCAGGTCTCTGCTGCAGACTGCCGCCGCTGCCGGACTCGGGCCCAGGTCTCTGCTGCAGACGGCCGCCGCGAACGGTCGGCGGCCCGCAGGAATGCGGCCGGACGCCGCACGCAGGCCGGCCGGTGCAGTGGAGCGGCGCACGGCCGCCGGCCGACGCCGTTTAACGGTGAGCAGCCGGATGTCGAATCGCCGCCGGCCACACGAGCCAAACCTCGGCGCAGACCTCGAATGGACCCGTCACACAGGCCGGCTCAGGCGTCACAGCGGGGGTGACGAGACGGTGACGTCGCCAACAGTGACGTCACGCGTGTCGGGGTGCGTGCGAGACGACCGTTACCCACGGCAGCGACCGCAGCGCGGCGGCGCCGCCCAGTCTGGCGCTCATCGAGTCGTCTCCGTCACCGTCGATCTCTGTGGTTCACCCACTTAGCGTCGGCAGCACCCAGCGAGGCGCGGCTACCCGCGGCTACCCTTGTGGTCGGGCTCAGGTCCCATCTCAGCTGGGGTGCCCGGAGTCCGGGAGGAGCGACCACAACAGCCGGCAGAGCTCCAGCTGATCTGGCACAAGTGCGCTGGCCGTGACGGGCGGTTCAGAGAGCCGCTCCAGCGCCGGCCGAGGGAGCGGCTCCCGGGAGGGCCACCTCCGGCGGCGACACCTCCCACAGGCGCACCGGCGCCAGTCGGGAACACGCCGCCGCGCCGGAGCCGCTCCGTCCACACCGCAGCGTACCGACCCCGGCCCCGGCCCAGGTCAGCCCCGTCAGCAGAGCGGTGTGCCACCCCGCCCGATCTCCCGCCCGGACAGGTAGCAGCCCCCCCCCCTCTGCCAGTCTCCTGGATGCGCCTCTGGCGCCGCGTGCAGCCGGTGCAGGCGCGCACACGTGCAGGGAGGGCCACCACGGCGACCTCCCGGCTCGGTGGCACACATCGCCGCCCGCCCGGCTCACCGGGACCACAGAGCCCGTCCGCCCCGTACACGGCACAGAGCACGACAGTGGGCGCCGGGCGAGGCGGCGCCGCCAACGGACCGGGAGAGGGCAGAGAGCACAGAGACAGCGCCGAGGGCGGGCTAGGGCGGCGCTGGCGGGTGGCCGTGCGGTTGTGATCGCACACTCCACAGTCTTAGAATACGCCATGAGATCCATCTTCTCATATAGCCAGCGGTGAACGCACAACGCTACGTGAAACTTGTTCCAGAAAATACCTAGCTGGAGAATGGCTGGAACATAGCTTGAACTCGTCTAAAAAAGTAAATGCTAAACCCGATCAAATGACCGAATGATCGCTTTGAAACTTTCAGTGAGCGATTAAGGTGACAGGATGTTTAAAGACTTAAGATGTAGAAATGGTTTTGAAATTGGTATTGAGTAGGATTAGATTGGAATTAATCCCTACTTAGGGTCACATTATAACCACATGTTGTTCGAAGTAGATAAACATGAATCGTGTTTTTCTATTAACACAATAAATCGTTTGACACGTTTCGACAAGAGGATAGTAGAAATGACGACCTTAAAACGTTGTATCCAAACTGGATGTCGAAGTGTTTCCGCCGAAACGTCAACCTGCCGTGACCTCAGAGGTCAGCAGGTGACCATTGACCAGGAGGGAAAGCACAGCGGTGCCGCCAGATTCATCATGACGACGAACCTGGTGGGTTTACCGCGCTCCTACGAGTCTGATAATCTGACCAGTATGGAGGTGACGAATGGTGCCAAAAAGTGACCACCGTACGGCGAGCTGGGCCGCGGATCCCAGAGATAAATTGCTCGGCAACTGATTAACCACAGGTCACGAGTGGCTCCAATTTGGTTCGAAATGCGTCCAGACCCTCAGGAGGTCACGGAGAGGATTCATTCACCCCTCACCATCGGTCAGGAAGGCCGCATGATAGGGTCAGCTAAGCGTAGGTAATCCTCCATTCCTGGGCTAAGGGGATGGCCGTATCGAAAGTACCTACTACAAAGCCAGTAGGTAAGGGCGCAATTCGTGAAAAACGCTTGTTCATTTGATGGTTTATGAAATGCTCAATTCAAAGTCATCTGCTCTAAGGTCTGTTCGCGAACAGTTGAACGTCATGAACGTCATGAACAAGGCATCATTGCTTACATCTTTCGCACTTAAATTATTATACATCCACATACCTACATGGTGTCATGACTGTTCGGGATGTGGAAAATGCACTTATCCCATCTCAAAGGCATGGAATCGTGATTTTAAAAGTTCCTGCAAGGTTCGAGCATGACTTCTACAATTTGGACCCAGCATGACGTCATATAAGACGTCACTCAGAGTCAGACCCTCAGGTTTCTTGGTGAAATCGGCATTTTCGTCATCAACTTTCGATCAATTTGATCAAGCCAGTCGCGAACGCCACGAACTGACTAAAAAAGACCTACTAAATCGAATGATGTGGCATACACTATGCAGAATGACTTCCGTAAACTAGCCTTGTGACATGAGTAACTTTGACCTGACTCAGGCACGTAGCCAGCATTTTTTTTCTCAGGGAGGGGCCACAGGTCGCGGCCTAGGGTCGTACCCCCTCAGAAAAAGGAAAACTCCTGGGATTTGGCCCCCTATTTTCGGTGGCGTGGTGCAGTTATTTTTGTTTATTTCTATTTTTTATTCAATTTTGCTTTATTTTTGGCCTTCAGGGGGGGGGGCACGGCCCCCGTGCCCCCCCCCCCCCTTTGGCTACGTCCCTGACCTGACTTTGACCTAATGTCAACACCCAGAAGTTGACATCACCCAAGCAAAAAGTATATATTTTGACGCGCCTAACCAGGATGAGCACGATGGTACCAAAATCCTGACTTTGCGACCAGTTTCCTTTGATTTATTTGCTTAAAACCCGAGGCTATGTAAACCAAGTAGAACGCTCCCGACGAAAAAGTGGCGTAAAAAATTAATTTAGCAACCGTGATTCTCGGAACCAAACAAACTCGGGTTGCCGTAGTAATGGGGCAAATATAGCACGAGTAGGGGAGAGTGGGGTAAGATGCCCAGGGTGGGAAAGACGCCCCACCCCCTCTAGCGGCGAAACAAAGAATCGGACCTGGAAATTAATGTTCTTAGCGTAAAGCAGAAGCCTGCCTTGTTAACTGCACAAAAATTTGCGAAGCTCAGTTGGGCAACGGCTGGCTGATGATTGCATGTTTTTTATTTGGTGCTTTCAAAAAATATTTTGGTGTCAAAACATTGTAAATATCAAAGAAGGTAAATAATTTTTGCGTCCCTTGCTATAGTCGTGATACATTACCATGCGTGTACTGTGTCCCAAACAGTTTGTTTCAGGGTGTAGTTTTATGGCTAACAAATTGTATTGATTTAATGTTACTTCGGTACCTTGGGGTAAGATGCCCCCTGTCCTGATGGGGAAAGACGCTCCCTAAATCCGTAGGCTGTCCTTCAAACAGCCCGTCAAATCATTCATTACATAGGTACTTGTGATGTAGACAAAAGCCGATCTGGGACTATTAGTCCAGTACGGTCGGGTGCTCCCCATGCCGGTCTCTCGGCCCACATAGCGACTTTTTGGGCGGCATCTGACTCTGAGAGCCCTCACGACGGCCTCTGTGGGCCCCATTATTGGCTCCAGGGCCCCTCACGACATCCTTTGAGGGCTCCCACGTTGGCCCCACGGGCCGCGCTGGCATCGGAGGTCCCCACGATGGGCTCGAGGGCCCTCAAGCATCATGAAGACCTATAAGAGCCCCACAGTGGTCTCCGAACGCCACCACGGAGGCTTGTTTGGCCGCGCTGGACTATGATGGCCCTAACGATGACCTCTGAAGCCCCTTACGACTACTTTTGAGGGCCCTTATGATGACGTTTGGTGTCTACTGCAGGCTCGAAGGGCCTACTGATTCGTTCAGGCGATTCACGTGCCCATTTATGTCACTTATAGTGCAGGGGGCATCTTTCCCAACGTCAGGGGGCGTCTTTCCCACCCCGTGGGGTAAGATGCCCCCTTTCACTTCTTCAGGAAAATGCTCAATGACAAAAAAAGTTATAACATTTCAGGCACGAAAGTGTGATATTTTTGGAGAAAAATGATGTCGGCTTCCGTTGAAACTCCAAGTTTTTGATTTCCCATCGTCATTTTCGAATAATATATGACATAGCAAAACCCTGGGCATCTTTCCCCACTCTCCCCTACTCGCCTGAACACTTGATTTTCAACGAGTTACTTAAAAAAAAGGAAATATATTTATTGGATCAGTAGGAGACTAAACTGCAATTTTCAGAAATAACTCAAGTTTGTATCTGATTAGCCTAAATAGTATCAAAATTAAGTCCTACAGTGATCCACCCATGCTGCTATAAGATACCTCGAATGCTCTGGCCCCTAAAATCGTCACTGAGCTATCAGCCAATGAGCGTCGAGTATTGTCTTACGCTAATTGGTCGAATTACTGTATGTGGTGTTTAGAATACCAACGGTGATGGCATTGCTAGCGCCACTTTTCGTCATCTTGAAAGGCCAGAGTGCACCCACCCCTTCTTAAAACTAAAGCCCTTCCTTCGAACACTTGACCTGACCTCAGCACTCACCAGTTGACCCAAGATCTTAAAATTGGTTACCAGTCATTGTGCCTGCCGTCTGGTAACATAGCAGGTCTGCTCCTTTTCCTCAAGACTCTAGTTCAAGTAGGGGCAAAACGGCTATGAATGGGTCTCTTTCGCCCCTTCCATAACATGTTTGCGAACAGTTCATAAACGTTCACGAGCTGTCGCTGTTTGTTTACGAAAATTCGGCCGATAACGTCATTTGTTCGTATACCTACACGTCTGTTCGCGAAAAGCTTGTTTCTTTGTTTGTTGATTTGGAAAATAAAACATGATTTGGAAAATAAAACAAACACTGCAGTCCCTGAATAATAGGGTCGGACATACGGTGTGAGCTCTATGAGCCTAATGTTCACTGCCGCTGAGCCATCAGTTTACAGCTTATCCATGCTCTTATCACTCCATCTAGGTCAAATCACTGACTTAACTTACTAACAAATACCTGGATGAGCAAATCCTGGGAATAAAACACGATTGAAGAAGTTCTACCAGCAGGCAGCAGCTCAACAATGGGTCCTTCAAAGCACAAGCATACCACAAAGTGGACATTACCTAATTGTGCTGAAAACCATTAGGGTTCAAAAGCCTGATTACACTTACCTACATGGGAATATCGTTATTGGGTATTATCATAAACGGGTACTCAGCTCCATCAACAGAAGTTGATCCATCAACAGAAGTTGATAGAGCTTTGAGCTTTTGTCCTTTTCAGGACAAGATCATAAGCACTAAGCAGCATTATCGTGCATCTCAGGATGCAAACATGCATTTATTCAAAATGCATTTATAATTTGAAGGAGTATCAAAAATTATTTATCTGTCACCGTAACAAGAATTAAGTGTTCATCTTCTGCACGCTTGCGACAATGTGCTCATACTGTATGTGTGTTTTTTTCCGAACATTGGAAAAGCAAAAGGCTTTACTCCGATGAGACACACAATCCAGTAAATGTCAAACTGCACGAATTAGGAGACAGCCAATGTAATGTAGGACTGGCTCGTCTCTTGTGTTTGGGGTTCTCTCATTCCTCATTTGTCTTCCTTCTTGCTATCCTGAAGCCCAAGACAGGATGGAACCCAACGAGGTAAGAATATGAGGTAAGAATACTTGTGAAAATCACAACCAACAAACTAAAGAAGATAAGGTACTGACTACTGAGCTGCACCTGCTGTCCTGCTACACATCTATCAGCTGGCATGCCAGCATGACAGCCAGTGAGTGCAAGGGGTCTGAGGTCTGAGGCATAGTGGGCACAAACATAAGTACAGCAGGACGAGGCGGCGAAAGGTGAAAATTTTGGGAACCAGACTCGAACCAGACCCGAATGGATATTTCTGGAATCAGTCGGACCCGGTCTAAGTTGGAATTGGAACCAGTTGGACCCGTTCCTCTAAAGCCAATTTATACAAACTATTGGTGGGTATCATTAGGTGCATCATGTAAAACAGCCTTTTCAGTTTTCCCACTGGGAATATTCATGAGCTAGTGTGTAGAGAATCATACATGAGTTAATGTTTTCTTTTCATTAACTTCATATTTTGCAATCATTTGTAGTGTGCAATATGTATGGCTTATGCCTTATGGTTGGATCCGGTTGGACCCATCAGAAAATTTACAGGAACCGGTCTGGACCCATATGGGTCCAGACTGGTTCTTGGACCGGGTCCTCGGGTCCACATTTTGCCACCTCTGCAGGAGCCCCATAACATACCACATTATCTAACGAACAGACACCTGGGAGAAACCAAACAGCCTCAATCAGAAAAAAAATATTACAGCACTCCATTGAAGATTCTATTGAAAAGCAGACTCCTGCCAACTGAAATGCTAGTAATAAGTGGGCTTTTTTAGACGCTACATCTTGTCCTACATCTGCTTTGTGTACTGGAACTAAAACCCAGTAGTCTATGCAGATTGCAGATGTCTGTAAAATTGCTGCATTGGATTGTCACTGTGATGCAGAAGGCAGGTGTGCAACAGACCTGCATGAAGACAGGCTGAGGAATCAATAGGTCTCTTCAGACTAGCTGCAGACTAAGAACTTTGATCATTCCCTCATACAAGTAGACATCAGCAGGCAGCAGCACCCTGCCAGGTATTTATCAGCAGCCTGGTTTGTTCAAGCAATGCCAAATTGGAAAAAAAAAATCCTGCAATCCATAAAAATGAAGTGTATATGCACCAGCCCTGCCTTAGTGAACTTGAGTAGGTACTCTTGATATTAAAAGGTATTCATCCCTATTTAGTACTTGTAGAGCACTTAAAGAGTTATGTTGATGTTGGAAGTGGATCTAAACCAACAATACAGGAAAAGGAAAAAGGAAGGAAGAAAGGATTAGTTTACATATTTTGGTGAGACAGTACATAAATACAAAGAATGAACAACTGCAAAGTGCAAAGTCACAAAAAGACATCATAATTCTGGTAAGCTATACATACATATGTATGTATATGTATATCAGTATCAGTGTGCATGGTCATTGGCATATGTTCTAATACTTTTTCTTATAGGCTGCGGAAGACATTAAAAACATTGTTTAATGAGATTCAATTGGTTTTGAATAAAAAATTAACTAAATTTATTGCTTCACATTCACAGTGATATAATTTGAAGTGAATTGTTAAAACAGTTCATAATTCTGAATAAATCATCAATCAATACATTTCACATTGTCATCAATACATTAAAGCTTAAGATGTTAGCACTAAGTCAAAAATAAAGGCACCTACCTAAGCTTAGAATAAGATTGAGTAAGTACAATCCATCAGTCTACATTTGTTTGATATACATAAGTTCAAATGCAATTGATCAAACGTGAACCGCTCCAAAAAGCATTAGACAAGTGACAGTTTGGAAATGATTACAATGCATGTAAAGACCCTCAAATGTAACCGAGTTGCAATAAAAAAATCATGAATAATGACACAAATCACATGGTAGGCAACAAGCTGTCCTGATCTCCTGGGATGGGATTTAGTTCTGCCATGGTGTCATCAGATCTGTGTGGAAATTTGCCTTTTAAAGAAAATGCATAATTATATATCTGGCAGTGTTCTGATTATTCAAACAAGCAGCGAAAAAACAGCGATTTTGTAGGGCACTACAGAAAGCTACCGTACCCAAACGCGGCAAAATATTGCGCACAGGTTTATCGAAAAGCCGCGGCCGGGGCTGAAGCAATAAAAAACTGCGTTTATACTCACTTTTCTCTGCTTGTGCATCGGAAGGGACGGCTGAACCCTTCCCTTTGGCGTACATCTCCACTCCTTTCCACGGTTGCGGAGAACCAAATCACTTATCACGGACAGCGGCCGCCGCCGCTTCCTAACAACAAATGCACTATCGACGAACAAGCACTAGAGCTGTGTCACAGCCGCTCACTGTCCAATAAAAGCAGCCCAAACAGCGCCCAATGATTGATAAATACCATCTGAAGTAGCTTTAGCCTGAACCAACCGGCCCACTCAGCCTGCACAACCTGATTCTCACATACTACAGAATATTCCGCATGATCTCTAATGGCGGATTATTGATTTTTGTTTTTCCGGGGCGGCAGTGAATGCAATCAGCTGTTCATGAAACTTTCACAGCACTAGGAATATTTCAACAAGTTTGTTTTCCTTGAACAAAAATTTTGGAAGCGAGTGATTGAGCAAGGAGGCTAATAAAAATAAATTGAAATACAATGAGCAGTAAAGTGAGAAAACAAGCGAGAGAATATTGTTAGCATGAAATAGTGCTGAACCAAAAAAATATATCGATGACAACTTTATAAGCGTTTATCGACGTAGGCTGCGAGCAGAGGCGGATCCAGCTCAGAGTTTTTTGGGGGGTCAAAGCATAACAATTTATCGATTCTTTCCATACCTCGTCCATAGGCGTAATGTTAAAATTATGCCGTTGGGAGGGGCAAATGCCCATTTTGCGCCCCCCCCCCTGGATCCGCCACTGGCTGCGAGTCGCCGTTCCGTGCTTCTATCCTCAGGATACTGAAATCCTTCTCCTCCACGCCGCAACCTCCTCCGGACTGGACAGGCAGCTTATCTCATGCGGGCTGCTCCCTTGGAGCGGCACTGCTGCCACTCCCGAGGGAGCGCACGCACCCCGTAGCCCGTAGCCGGGTGCAGTGCGTAGGTATCCTACGGGCTAGTCGGCCTGTCTTTCGGGACGGGCTCAGCCCCGGTGACTCACGGGTGCCTGCCCAGACCAGGTCTCCCCCTAATTCCTATCATCCTTCCGGCTCTGAAATGGTCTCGTCAGACCGAAAGGGCCTAACCCAACAAAAATAGGCTGCGAGTGGGCTGCAAGATCTAGCGCAGAACTGATGCAGACTAGAGGCAGGGGTCTATATTGAGACTCTGGGCAGGGGGCATAAAGCTCATTTTGCATCCTTGGGCGGGGGTCTCATATAGGCAAATATTTGATCTTGAGCGAAGAAAGTAATCGTCGATATACGGTCTTGGGGTTGGGTAAATGAACTTGAGAGGCTTAGTAGGTATAGGTTACATGAACCAAGATACCTATAATAAACATGAACCGTGAAACATGACAAACATGACATGAACCTCCTGTGCAGAGATGGGTGTGGACATGGTGCGGAGAAAGATTGCTCCGCTTCTCCATTATTCCGCTACCTACGGATCTACCTTCATAACTTAGGTACTTTATCCATGCGACCCGCTATATAGCCGACTAGAATGCATTTCCATGGTGTGTCGTTTCGGGAACTAGCGAATGAAGTTTAGTACCGCCGTTCACCAGTGGATGGCGCTAGCTGGTAGTTTCGGCGAAAACTCCGTCTGAGATGTTTGAAGGCTTCCCTTAATCCCTTGTTCAAACATGGACCCCGTCAGCCCCGCAGAGGTATTTGTCCAGTGTACACCGCACCTGAGGACGGGTCAGCTGAGGGAGGGGAGTCACTATTGTGGCCTGAGGAATGCCGCGCCGGTCGGGGGACGGAGTCGGGAGAAGGGGGAGGGAGGCAGCGCCGTTCTTGCGGTGACGGGCTGGCTTGTCGCCTCAGCCTGGCTGGCTACGCTCAGTCGGCGAGGCGCTGCGCATGACCCGGGAGCAGCTGAGAGTCCATATAGACAATTGGCTCGTTTGTAAGCACGAACACTTGGAATGTTGCTGGTGCAGAATTTTAGCATAGGGACGATGTTTTTTTTTGTGCCAAATTTTGTGTAGGTAGGTACATGTAGGGAATTTGTAGAAATTTATTGTGACAAAGTTTCCAAAAAATCGGTCCAATTTTTTAAGATATCGAGGTTTTAGTGACGTCATGATTTGAGTTTTCGACAAAAAACGACACATGTTAAAAAAAAAATCATGGGTATAAAATCACAGAATAGACATACAGACATGCCGTAAACATCATTGGACTGCCAATACCTACCATGAACAATGAAATTGCCATCTGCCATCTTCGATTTTTGATTACGGAGCGAGCGAAGCGAGCGTAGTCTTTCCTTAGATTAACGGAAATTTCTGAGTATGAGCGGCCGGCCGGCCGGCCGGCCGTGGTCACGCTTTTGCGAGGCTTATATCTCAGCAACCACTTGACCGATTTACATGCGGTAATTTTTGTAGGGTAGCTTCATTCCTTCTACCAAGTATTGCACTATTCCCGATGCATGTGGGTGACCCCTTATGCACGTGCCACATGCAAAACGAAGAGGTGTCACTTTTGTAATTGTTGCAATATCTCGGTAACTACTTGGCCGATTGCGCTGAAAGTTGGCATGTAGGTAGGCACCCACTAGGCAATGCACATCCATGTGCCAGAATTGGGGTGCTGCTGCACGTGCGCACGTGCAGGGGTCGTTTCCAGATCTCGAGAACGGCTCGACCGATTGCGCTCAAATTTGGTACACAGATAGGGACCGGTTAGTAGGGTGCCGTGCACAAGTCAGTTGGGACCCATTTTGCACGTGCGCACGTGCAGGGTGCCGCTTCCAGATCTCGAGAACGGCTGGGCCGATTGTGCTCAAATTTGGCACATCGCTAGAGACCGGTTAGTAGGGTGCCGTGCACAAGTCAGCTGGAGGTACCCCCTCGAAATTTCGCACGTGCAAGGGTCATCCTCTCGCTCACTCCGTTAGTCGCCCCAAAAGGCGTTATACTGGTTCTACGGTTTCCAAAATCTTGAATGGAATCTTGGCAATGTCTTGTGACTACTTCACGACCATGATGCATGCATTTCATAACCCACACCCCGCTGGGGGTCCTGGAATTAGGTACACGCCCTGCTGGTGGGCGGGGGAGTTTGAACACCCTCCTTTTAGCTCGGCTCCTGGGCCATGTAGCGATACGGGGAAAGCGACGTTCGAAAAAAGCGTAAGGAATAATGGCGAAATTTGTACTTAGGTCACTTTTTCGGTCAGGTCAAAGGTCAGGTCACCAGAGGTGTTTTGGGCCCATGCTACTGAAAGCCCAATTTCATGTGTTTGATCTGACCTTGACCCGACCTGTGACCTTGAACTTGAATTCAACTTTCAGGTGCTCATCGTAAGTGTCTCGTCGCGTTCTTTCGTTTGCCTCATCGTCCGTTTTGCTGCGTCTATTGGTTCTTGAGTCGGGTAGCTCAATTGGTTCCCGAGTTATGCGCCGCTTTTTGAAGAAAAAATGTTGAAATAGGCAAAATTTGACCTTTGGCGACTTGACCTTTCACCTGACTTAAAAAACGATGAACCATTTTCTTCATTATTTTTGACGCTGCTTTGAATGCCACTTACCGCGTGTCACCACGTGGCCCAGGAGCCGAGTTAGACGTGTGAAAACGCCCCCTCCCCTTCAGCACGACACGGAATATACATTCTTGGACGATACCGCGAAAACGAAATATTTCTATCGAGAGTTTTCAAAGGATTTCATGCACGAGGCCTTGGCCGAGTGCATGAAATTCTTTGAAAACTCGAGATAGAAATATTTCGTCCAAGATTACTAGAACATACAAGATAGAACAAGATTACTAGATTTCGTCATGGTAGAGTCCTAAAACTTATACGGCCTTGGAGTCCTAGATACCTATTATTTCCTGTATGTTTCTTAATATCGTTCGCTATTTGCTTAAAAAAGGCCGAAATATGCATAAATAAAATACAGTAACATTAACTACACGTTAAATACTGAAATACTGGCAGTTCTAATTACTTAACAGTTCAGCAAAGCTTACAAATTTTCTTTAAAACAGAAGCCCTCGGTGAAATCAAGCTATCCAAGAAAACCATCCAAGAAAACGTCTCGCGCAAAGTTTCTTGGATGGCTGGATTGCATTGCAAGACTGCATCAAACATACAGGAAAACTATAACCATCAGCACGGCGCGGGTTAACTTGACAGTTGAGCTTATCCGCCCCCTTCTAGCCAAACGCTCATCCACTATTTTAGCCTGCGTCAGGGGAGCTGAGGACGTCGAGACCCCGGACCTGGTGGCTGCCCTGGCCCCTGAGGCAGATTGATGCCGAGTTGCATGCTATCGAGGACATCAACGATGTACCTACCCGGTCAATTTTATTTCGCCGTCGACCTGAATATCATATGGATGGTGTTGGTCTGGCAGGGGGTTTTGAGTGACTTTCTCTGTGGCCATACTGTACTGTTCGCCCGAGAGCTACAGTGGCGTCACAGAGGGCAACATTTTTATCATTAGGTACCCCTTCCTACACAGTATTCATTTTATTACATGGCCGGTGATGGCCCACCCCAACACGCTGATAAATATCGTTAAATATGTCGACGATCAGAAGAAAAATGACAAAAGATTCAGACGCGCGGATTCCTATTGGCAGTTGTCGTAGACTAACAAAAATATGTAATCCCTCAGAATGAATAATATATTGATGAGAAACCGTCAAGTGCCCCAAGGTACGGTTCCGTTTTTTGGTGAATAACTTATCAAAAACCGGCCGCAGAGTCGCGATTTTGGCAGCATCGTGTTCGCGCTCGCTCAGGCGCGTCGAATGGTATACTTTTTGTTTCGGTGAGGTCAACTTAAGGTGTTGACCTCAGGTCACGGTCAGGTCAGCGCCCCCAGGTCACGACATTGGTCGAAGTAGGTCATATCGCATATCATTCGATTCGGCAGGTTTTCCTGAGTCCATTTGTTGCTTTCCCGACTCGCTAGCTCAAATTGATCGGGACTTATTGACGAAAAACTAATATGACCCTAATGACGTCATAAATGACGTCGCGCAAGGCAACATTGCAAAACTGACGCATGTTACCGTGCAAGGAGTGCATCAAAGCACGATTCTGTGCTTGAGATAGTTGGAGATCGTTCCCGGCGCCAGAATAGCAGTTTTCATTTTTCCCCATTGACTTATGATGGTGGGGTCACGAAAATGACCTGACCTCATATGACCTTTAGGAAAAATCCGAGATATACAAGTTGTGAGACTCAAAATGGATACTAGATCCTGCAAATTGGGAATGCAAATGGGAACAAATTTGGCACCTCTTCTTTTTGTATTTTGCACGTGCAGTGGGGGTCACTCACATAGATCAAGAGTATCCGACCTTTGGTAGAAGGGATGCAGCTACCCTACAAAAATTACCGCAAG